CACCACCCAGCTGGCTGCTCAGCTCCTGTCATCTCTAAACCGCTATTGCAGAACATTGGAAACACTGCTTATAGACATGGTGTCTGTGCCTGGGCTCTTGTACATCTGTGAACAGCTTTGCTGGAACAGGGCACACAGAGGGAATGCATAGTGAATCATCTCCATACAGTGAAACTTGCTGTACTGGGATAATCTCTACACTACAACGCTTTTCAAAACCACTTTCGTTTATAGCAGGCATTATAGAGAGGTTGAAGTCTGTCATGTCCTTGAACACTTTCCCTGTTTCTACTTAATATCAATGCCAGAGGGAAGACACCTGCTTTTATGAGTGGGTCCTTGTTTCCTTGAACACTTTCCCTGTTTCTACTTAATATCAATGCCAGAGGGAAGACACCTGCTTTTATGAGTGAGGGGTCCTTGTTTGGAACACATGGTTACATGGTTAAATTTAGCAGTAGTGATAGCTTTAGCATAAAATCTAAAGAGCAATGCTTGAATGCTCCTTAAACTGGATACTACTTAGTTGCTCAGTCTGCATGATATCTAGCTCATGTTTTCCATGTGTCACACCCTGCTAAGCTTGTTTTGTTAAGGTAAGCTGTAAGAAAAATAGACTCAGTACATGTTCTTCTGCCTGCAGGATGATTGTTCCAGAGGAGCGTCTCTTTTCAGCTGTTTGCCGTGAGGACTGTTGGCTTCATTGCAAAACAATCTGTGCTAGCTATTGCTATCAGCACTGGATAGTTAGGTTTTCAGCTGGATTGAGTATGAAAATGTCTCTGGAATTGTTTTCCACATAATATGGCTTAAATAAAATTTAGTTTATCTGATCTGCACTTTCAGAGGGTGAGGACTCTTGCATAATTCCTGGCTAGTTTTTTGCCTTACCAGTGTGGTAGTATGCACCTTCGTGACTGATGTGTTCTTTCTATGCCCTCATCTTTGTATGGTTTTAGTAAAAGCAAGCTGAAAGTCCACACAAACCCTGGATAAAAAGATGTCTTGTCCTTCAGTCCTGTACAGTCTTGCACTATTATGCTCAGTACTTGGTCTTGGAAGTTCTTGTAGACTTTATCTCAAAAATGTAGATAGAAGTCACTCATAGGAAGACTTTCAAAAACAGATTTGTCCATTGCCAAAATGTAGGGTCAACAAATAGTCTGACAGACAGGTCACGTGCCCAATTCTGCTATAGATTATAAGGATGCTTTGCAAAGTCAAACTTGGCCATCAGCTGAGGACAGCTTTTACTGGAATGCAGTGATACAGAGGCATCACTTTGTTAATGTCAAGGTTTTATAAGGCTTTGTAGTAGGGTTAGATTGGCAACTTGTCTTGGTAAATTAAAGTCTAATATCTTTAACAGCTGCTTGCTTTTGCATCAGTCTGGTAAGATGAGTTTTAATCTGTCTCAGTTTTCACTGATTATGCAAGATCTGCACAATCTGGGCAACTTCTTTCCCCTTCCCTGTTGAAGTCTTGTGATGTTCAGTCTCCTGGAGCCTGGATACTTAAGGGATTTTAGGATATCTATCTCACCATAAGCCTATTGCTTAAAGGCTGATGGGCAGTAGTAAAAGAAAAGATAGGTGAGATAACAAGCTGCTGCTCTAACACTTGCATGTATTTCAGAGCTTTATTTTTAAGTGCAAACTGCAGAAATATACTTAACATGCTTAAGTATGACTAAGTGGGAGTAACAAATCTCTGCATCAGAGTACTGTCCTAAGCATATTATTCATGCTGGAACTTGACCTTTGAATATTTATCTAGAAGAGTGTAGTTACATGTTGAGTGACTAACACTAGCACATCTTTGCTGCAGGCAGTGCGATGCTTAAACAACTGGCTGGAGTTAATGTAAAAGATAAGCTAAGCATTTTACTTGCTTGGTCCATAGGGTGCTCAGAAACACTAGCTTGTGCACTCTGAAAGGAGCAAGCAGTGAATGCACCCTTGTCCATAGGACTTCACACAGTTTTAGCCTTCGGATGGAAATGTGGAACCCATAGGTAGCATTTGTCCATCATTACAGATGGAGTTACGGGGATTCCTGCCTTGGTTTTAGTCTTTCCTTTAATGAAGAACATCTCAGTGAAACTGCATGTGCTGTTTGCCTATGTAAAAGCAGTGTAAAGGTTTGACTTATTGAAGATCAGTACTTCAGGTAACTTCTAGTTGGGTTATTTGAAGGCAGGTTTGAGGTTTTTTCCCCAAAGAAACCAGCTGTGATTTGAGGAGGCAGGATGTGGTAAGTAGTATGCTCTTGGTAAGCAGTATGCTTGAAGCCATTTGTCTTCATTTAAACTCCAGCGGTAGTGGTGAGGCTTTGAAGACTCTTCTAATTTCCTTTCTGACAGCATCCTGTGGTATGTGCTGCTGCAGCTGCTGCATCTATTCCACTGGATGACTGTAACTTATAGCTGGAAGCTGAACTGTAGCTAAACATGAGGAAAGGATTGGTGCTTGCAGAGATCCTTGATTTTTTTTTCATCAAGGTGGTAGCAGTAATCAGTCACAGCTGTAGAACTTGGCTGTTGTAGCTGGAGAAATTGCTTTCCTGTTAGCCCTATGGGGTAAGACTTAAGGTTTTACCTGGGATAATCTTTGATTTGAAAAGCGCTGTATAGGAGCAGAATCACCAAAACTTTCCAATGCATGTGCTTAACCTAGGATGAGAAACCATGCAACAATGTTGACGTCTGAATCTCCTAAAAGAGCTGCAAATTCTTATTATAGGTTGTATTTGACAGCTCTCCTCAAAAAAAAAAAAAGATGCTAGCAAAATCCATCTGCAAAGGACTTCTGTGAAAGAAGACAAAAAGCCAAGTCAAGCACTGTTTAGTGTGGGGTATGGCTACTGACCTGAACTGGTCGTAAAGTAAATGACTGGGGTGAAGTTAGCTGCTTTTTCTTATGCTAGAAGAGCAGCGTCTTTTCCATTTGGCGTTGTAGTTGCTGTTCAAAGCCTTCTGCAGTGAGCTGTATGTGACTTGAGCAGAACCATCTGTAGTTCTTGTGCAGCCTCGTTTACGTTGACTGCACTATCCTGATGGATATTTACTTTGAATTGTGAGAATGAATCCGATGACTACTTTCCATCTCTACCAGCAATTGCAGAGGATGAGCTTGTACAGTCCCCATCACTGCTGGGAATCTGTGCACAGCTGGCGTGCTGCACATTGTGCCTGGCAAGACCCACCTGTAGTGCATATCTCCCAGTGCAAAGATACTGGGCTGATAAAAGACAGATAGTGCTACTAGCCTCATGCAGATTCTTTGAAAAGCTTTATAGTTGAGTGATCAAATTCAAGATGCACTGAGGGCCAATTTACAAGGTTACAAGCATCAGTTGGCAGCTTTTGTAGCTTTTATTGAAGTGGTATCTACTTCTACAGGAATCTATTTTGGGTCTCTGGGAATTACACTTGCAAAAACTGAGTGAAACTGTACAATGAGCTACTGTGTTGTGCTGTCTGTAAGAAGCCGCCCTCATGGATGAGGAAAGAGAACAGGGACAAAGTGTACTGCTGCTCTTGTCTTGTTAAACAAGCCTAGATAGTTCTTATTTTTATAGGAGGCTTTTTTTTTGAGGAGTGCATAGGGGGAATGGGGAGTTGCGGATACAACACATAAGAGCTGGCATGGGGAAGAAGGTCCAGCTGTGTGAGTAGGTAGTGTCAGAGTGCAAAGAAGGCAAGGTTTCTGTCGCATTCTAGTGGATTATGGGCTTAAGTAGTAAATCCGAGCCCCGAGCTGCCTAGTTCTCTGTGAACAGAGGAAAACATGAAAGAATAGGCTGCTTTATATGGTCTCAAGCAGTAAAGGGAATAATTGCAGGAAGCCCAAAAAAACCAAGATGGGGAGGGAGTTGCTAATTTCGCAGGATCCAAGGTGGTGTCAGCAGCTCTCAAGCTTCTTCTGGGTACCCTGCTCTGTGTAGCAGGGACCACAGCTCCTTAACTGGAAGCATGTCCCCTGGGACTGCTATTCTCCTAAACAAATAAATCATTCATGCTTTCCTGTTGAGAACCGATGTAACTATCTTTTTCAAGGCATTGGCTTAGTCTGTCCTTTGCAGAGTGGCCAGGTGACTGCCCCACCACCACCACGTGGGCAACAGTACGTCTCCTATTAAACCACTTGCAGCTCTGCTTGTACCAACAAAACTGATAACTAAGCCTTTAACCCCTTTCAGCTAGTAGCTGTGTTTTCCCCATGTCTTTTTTGAGGGCCAGTAAGCTAGGAAAAGAAAGACAGTCTGCTTTGTCATCTAGTTTTAATATGCCCTTGATAAACAAATGTAACTGGTGAGTCCCCCCTCATATTGAAAAGGATTTACTATTCAGTGGAGCTGGGTTGGCCAATTATGACAGGTCCTTTTAAAACTGTCCCAGCTTTACCTGACTCTGCTTGAGAGGAAAAATCCCCCTGTACCGTGCTTTTCACTTAACTGAGAAAAGCAGTTCTGTGTAAAATCATCCCAACCATCAAGTCTTGGGGCTTTTGGTCTTCTAGAACTTGCTGTCAATCCTGTCGCTTCTGCCACTGGCTTGTACAATCAAGCGCTTACACAAGTTCATGTGGCTCAACCCAGCAGGCTTCAGTGTTTCAATTAAAACAGATTTACAACATTTTACAGGTTTTGAAGGTCAGTTTGGTTGGCTAGCAACATGCTGTCCCAATCTCACTGAGGCACAAGGCCTCTGTGTATTTGGTGAGAAGCATTTGTGCATGTAATGTTTCGATATAGAGGAATGTCTGGATTTTGGCTTCTGCTGCTATCAGTGCTGATTTGTCAGCTTTGAGAGCATATCAGTCTCTCTTCTTGTGTAAGGCTGCAAAGATCAGTGCTGCCAGTTCAGTCACAGCAAAAACAATTTCATATTTGATACTATATTTGGTAGCGAGGGGGGGATTTGTTATGGGAGTGCTTATGTGTTCTCAAAGGCTTGTTAACACAGCAGGGATACGCCATTAAATTACTGCCTCTTTCAGGTACATTCCACCCCTGATCTGGGGAAAGAGTGGACATATCCAAACTGCCCTTTATGGAAAAATGGGGAGAGTGAGATCACCACATCCATATGGACTTCGCAAGTACCTCACGATGTCAGATGGAGCAACAGCCACCTTTGATCTCTTTGACCCGCAGTCGGAGCACTGCATTGGAGGTCAGTCAAACAGCTGCTGGCTGCATATAGCTGCTAACCTTAATTCTGTGCTCTGGGACATGGATTAGGACACTGCTACTTGATTTAGCAGAAAGGGTAGATGTTAATTCTGGTGATGGAAGGGGGCTGCTAAGCAATACTAACCAATGTGCGGAGGCTCTGAGGCCATCTTGCTGTATACCTATGTCTCAGACAGCAGGAGAGACCCTACTAGACTAATTAACTGTTTGTGGCAAGAGGTGGGAGTTAAAGAACAGAAGAAATGTTCCATAACCTGTGATTCGTGTGAGAGGCTGGCAAAGAGAATCTGGTGGTAAGCTTTGTTTGGAGTGCCCTTTGCCCATTAAGGCTGTGGGATCATGGAACAGAGACTAGCTGCATGAGGTTCTTCATAGCCTGGTGTGTATGGAAAAGAACCTAGACTTTATCTCCCCCTTAGAAACAGACTCTTGGTAGTCTTTACTAACAATAGGTGTTTCAAGATCTGCATGAAAACAAACTCCGTGTGCACAGGATATGAAGGAGTCCAGAAATGAAGAGAACTCCATGAAAAAGTAGAAAATCATGGTGATTCCTTCCAACATTATGTATGTATATTCAGAGTGAATGCATCATGGTGATTCCTTCCAACATTATGTATATTCAGAGTGAATGTCATCTTTCAAACTCACTGTTATTGCTAGTAACAGCAACACTTAAAACTGAGTTACTGTGGCTTGACTTAAGTACAATTTACCCCTGCAGTAGCTGATTTCATTGTAAGCCCATGACTCCCATTTGGCCTTCAGAAAAAGCAGAGTTCTCTTCTTAACTGTCAGTGTTGAGGTCCTCATGGTATAATGCTGCACTAGAACAGTTACTGTTATCTTTATCACTGAAAAGAATCTGAGCATGCTTTCCCAAAGAGGCAAAAATTCAGTGGCTAGAGCTGCTAAGTGTTGAAGCTTTGCATGTAAGAGTCTGACAGCATATTCGCTTCGAATTAGCTAATTCTGAATGTAATTTGCTGTGCTTACTTGAATTACAATACTTCCTTAGTTGATTAAATGATATCTTGTTAAACTAGTGAATAGTGTCAGCAGATCAAATATCATTAGATTAGCCACAAAGCAGATGATGGCTAATGTCAGCCAATCAGAATGTCTGTACTTAGCAAAGCTCATTTTGAAGATCTGTGTTACACCCAACTCTGGAAGGGAAATGAGGGGGAAAATAGCATAGCCAGTCTACTCAGTGCATGAACGGGCAGTGGGCTCCAGAGCTTCCACACACTTAGCAGTCACAACAGCCTGTCAGAAGGCAGAACATGTGTAATGTCAAAAACATCCTTCAAAGAGAAGAATTTACTCTTGGTCTCTAGGCAGTGCCTGCAGAACTGTTTGGGTAGCTTTCCCTGAAGTTAGAAAACTGTTCATCTCCTGTAACATGAATTACTCTTTCACATCTGTAGCACTAGAGCCACTAGTCTCCTGTCCAATACTGGATTTTTGGCAGACTAGTAGGATTTTTAGCTTGCTTCTTGTAGATGGTTTCCCACGGATCTGAAATGGAAACCTTCTGAATCTCTTAATTTGCATGAAGTGACATTTACTTAACTTCCCTCTCTTTCTGTGCACAGAGGATGTCACGATGGTAATCTGCCCTGGGATTGCTAACCACAGTGAAAAGCAGTATATCCGCACTTTTGTTGACTATGCGCAAAAAAATGGGTACAGATGTGCTGTCCTGAATCACTTGGGAGCCCTACCAAATATTGAGCTCACTTCTCCGCGAATGTTCACATACGGTAGGTACTTTATGGCAACTGGGGACTTACTTTCAAGCTTGTGGAATTTCTAGGGCTTGATCAGCTTCCTTCAGCATAACACAACTGCCATATCTGAATAAGGATAATAATTTTGTACTGTTTCTTGGGAAATAAACTGAAGTTACATGTGAGGAGGAGGGGAGGCTAATACTGGGATTCACTCTTCCTTGTCTCTTCTCCCAGCTCTTACATGTGTATCCTAATCAAGGAGGCAGTCTTCTGAAAAGAAAACTTTTGAAAGAAGCTCTTGTGGCTACTAAGACTGCTCAAATGACTTTAGAGATGCTGAAATGTCAGTTTAGTGGAATGTGAAACAAACCTGGCTCTGAAGGATAAACGCTACTTCTGAGGCTTTGTAAAATGTAATATGAGCGGAGTTTGTACCAGCCTATCCAGAAAGTACATTTCTATCCTAGGAGGGACACGTGAGGATTGGTCCCTGGATGTAACACAAATGTCAAGGAACAGCAACAATTCTACAGTATGACAGTAAAGCTACAGAAGTGGTAGTGCTTAACGGCCATGATTTTGTGCTTTCACCTTGAGTATAAGGAAATCTTTCTTAACCTAGAAATTAAAACGAATAGAGGATTTGGAACTGTTACGGGTGACTCCAGCTATTCTTAACTGCCCTGCTAGTGAGTAACATGATCTCTCTAGAATGTGGCCTTCTTGCCTGTGACCTCATCCGCTTGTTCCTGAGTTCTCTTGAGCCCTCATGTCCCTCTTTACTGCAAACATCTATAGGTACATTATGTCAGGAGTCAATTGTGGGTTTACCAGACTGGTGTTAGGTTTTTTTCTTTTTTTAAAGATAACTAAGATACTTACTGCTAAGTTTAGATTAACAGTTTGAATGTTTATCTTGAACAGTTGAGTTAACAAGATAGAAATATTGTGCTTTGTGATTCTGGGTCTGGCAGGCAAATAGGCTGTAATGCTTTTGTTGCTTGTTTTATAGTTACTAAATCTACTCCTCAGTGGAAAACACTTCAGGAATACAAAGTACCTCAATTTGTATTGAGGACCTAGGCTGTTAATGGCTTCAAGCCTACCATGTCTTGGAAACTAAGCTTGGCCTCCTTAAAGCATTTGCTTTTTTGATAAAAGTTGAGAGCTTTCTTCATGGAGCTTTGCTTTAGACCTTAGGGAGTTATTCTGTAGTGCATCTCTCGAGACATACCTTTCTGAGTCTTTTATAGCCTTGGAAAGGGCAGGAAGCACTTCCTTTAAGACAGTAAATCACTTGGCAGTTGCTTGTTAAGTGGAGTGCCAGCAAGACCATGAGCAGACTTTACTCTGCCTCCAGCCCAAATATCCTAGTGTCCTCCCAGCTTTTGCTGGATTCCTGACATATTTGTTGAGGAGCAAGTAGCCTAAGTTTCAGATGTAAAGGCTGGAGGGTTCAGTGCATCAAGCTTGACCTGTTGCTATTCTAGTTTTGGATTTCTGAAATAGTTGCCGGCTGCCCTCAAATCATGAAGGTCAAACACTAAAGTCTTTTGACTGCTGGCTTCTTCCAGAGGAAACTAGAGCAATGCAGCATTTGTCATCTTGAGGAAAATTGCTCACTAAGAATGTTCACAAGGAAGTGCCCAAGCCCTGCTGAAATGCTCAGCCAGAAGCCTGCTGTTTCACTGAAGTAAACGCAAACCCTGGTGCTCGGTCTACTCCAGAGCTAGCCAAAACCTGTGTCTGATGTCTAGCAAGGATGTTACAGTTGGGGTGGGGACACAGTGGAGCACTGTTAGTTTGGCACAGGGTAGAATCCCAACTCTTAGGATTATCTTCCTGGACAAGTTCCACAGGATAGAGCTGAGATTCTGACTCTAGACAGGAATAAACACTGGAGTTTTATTTCTGTTGTTCATGTGGTGTCTCCTGTGTGGTTTGCAGTCTTAAATCCAATGGGAAGGTTAACAAAGTGCATAGGCTGATGATACCAGTGTACTAATGCCATCGGTTTTGCAGCTGCTTCTCTTCATGTTTCCTTTTCCCAAACTCAAAGGCAGGAGAAACAGCTGTAGGTACTCAGATGTTGCACATGTGGAGGCCTTCAAGTCTGTCAAACAATCTGAGGACCCTAGTACTGCCAGAGGCTGGATCCCTCAGTGCCTGCAGCCTGTGGGATGCAAGTGGGTGTTAGCTGAGAGCAGAACAGATCTGTATAGAGGCACTTACCTCTTCTCTTGAAGAGGGGATAACCATACATCTTCTAGGAAGCTGCAGTATCGTTTCCTCTTCAGTGGTTAAGAAGGGCTAGCTGCCTCTGCTTAAACCCTTCCTTCTGATTCCAGAGAACACCTGCGTAGTCAGGCTCTGCAACAGTCCACTGAGCTCTGTCCTGACAAGCCAACTCTGCATTTCCATCACCTCCCTGCATCAGCATGGATTTAAGGGTCCATGGCAGCCTTGCTAAAAGCAAAGGAGCAAGCTGCCTTCCAGACGCCCCACTTAAGTTCAGAAGTGGCAAACTGCCTAAGGAAGGTAATGACGTGCACTGTTCTTAGATAGTAATGTCAAGGCCAGAGTTGTTGGACTCTGCTTTTTAAGCTGCTTTAGAAAGAAGAGTTGGGATTGTCAGATTAGCTGTTGCCATGATTTTTCAGCAAGTTAATTTCATCTTACTTTGGCACTCTGTCAGAATTAGACATGAGCTAAGGTCCACAGGACTCGTAAAACAGATACATGAACACATGTGCGAATCAGAGCTCTTAAAACCTTGAGGTTATTGAAAAGTCAGAAAGGGTAAGGAGCTGAACTTAAAGCATGCAACTGAAGCTTGAAGTGGGAATCTAGGTATGTTAGATGATTCTTGACTTTGTCCTTATTTTTAGGTTGTACCTGGGAATTTGGTGCCATGGTTAATTACATCAAGAAGACCTACCCTCAGACCCAGCTGGTTGTTGTGGGCTTCAGCCTGGGTGGAAACATTGTGTGCAAATACCTGGGAGAGAGCCAGGCCAACCAGGAGCGAGTCCTGTGCTGCGTCAGCGTGTGCCAGGGGTACAGCGCACTGAGGTACGTCTAGAGACTTCTCCATGACGGTCTTTTCTGGGGGTGCAGCAGGGGGCAGATCTTTGGCAAGGATGCGTGTGGAAGGACAAGGTGAAGAGCGTGTTGCTTCTCTTGCATTGAACCCATCTGACAGGCCGCGGTGTGTGGGATGCTGCCCTCCTGAAGGAGCAGCCAAAGCTGCTTTGATTTTGCAGCACAAATAAGCTTTCTGTCAACAATGCAAATAAGTTTTCTGTACCTGGACAGGTACATGCTGGCAGCTTCTGGTCTGTGTGAGTGAGCTGGCCTAACTCAGTGTCATGGCAGAATTGCCATGCGTCCTAAGAAGAGGCATTCCCCGTGCAGTCCTGGTGTAATTAACCAGGCAGGCTGGGCAACACAACAGACTGCTGAGATGATGCCAGGTTTGTGAGAAATAGTTTACACTTTCTCATCACTTCCTGAGAAGGATTCGTTGATTCATAATAGCTTTTCTGGCTTCAGTGTGCAGTTTCATCTGGCAGATCTTACCTAGGGAGACTGGAAAGAGACACACACAGCTCATACGCTGTCAGTCCATGCTCCCCTCTTAGCGTGTATCACTGAAACAGTGCTGTGGGCTGATGAGGAGATGAAGAGGCATTTGCAACTGTTACACAATTTGGAAGGTGGGAAGGAGAAGGCTTATAGCCCTAAAGTCTGCCTAAAATGTTAACCTGTGGTTCCCTGTCTGGAAGCCAAGGCTGTAGCACTTCGAGAGCTGTAACGGCTCCACCTAGTGCTAACACTTGCATTTACTTATGGAGGATCTGGGTACAGCACTGCTGCTTGAAAACTGGTGGCTCAACTAATGTGCAGTAATTTTCCATGTATGCACAGTTAATGAAGATTAAAGCAGTGTAACTGGCTAAGCTACTGCTTTCAGTTTTTACTGTGTACATATGGACAACTACTAAGGTGTAGCTGTCTTTACAGTAATTTAACTGCACTTTTGAGACCTGAGACTATTTGAAAGGCAAAAGGGGCTGTTTGAGACTAGGGTATTTGGGTCAAGATCCTTTGGGCAGATAAAAAATGGTGAAACTATGGCAGCCCTGTGAGGGGCTTGCTATGGAATTTGGCCTCCCAGCCTGGTCATGGTAGCTGGAGCTCTCTTGGTGCTGCTGATGCTTTGCCTGTACAGGGACCAGTCTGATAGTCAGCAGTCTGAAGACACCTTTTATGAGTTAAGCTTTTACAGGTGAAAGTAAGAAGCTTTTCTGGAAGCATTAAGATGTGACTGAAAGCTTGACATGCACTTCAGTAATATTCCAGCATACCTAATCCCTTTTGAGATCAGATGTGACTACTGCTAAAAGAATGTGTAATCTACTACTAGGTCCCCATGAGTTCCCACCCTTAAAATCTGAACAGATGCTTTCAGAAACAGTTTTTCTGTTTTGTTTCAAGTAAAACGTTCTTAATTGTCTTGGGGTTCTGGCATGGAGCACAGAGCATCCTTTTGAAGCCAGCTCCTCAATTGCAGCCATCAGACAGGGTTTGTGAGGATTACATCTGGCTGCGGTCCACTTGGTTCATCTTCTGCGGTTATGCAACACTGTATTTCTGGTCTCCAAAATGATGATGTGAGTAACGCTGTTCCCTAAGCCGATTTCTGTAGTAGTATGTCATGATGTACTGGTAGAATAGCAGGGCAAGGACAACCTGTTTAACCATATTGCACTTGGATAGTCATGTGGAAAAATAACAGCTGCTTGTCTGACTTTAATGCAAGTCTTCAGTGGGTTGTGTGGATTATTGAGCTCTGGACTCCACCTGCTGGGTAAACATCTACTAGCAAATCTCCAGTCACAAAACATCTGCTGTGCATTACTGGGCAATCAGAGGAAGGCTTTTCAGATCTTGTCTCCCTACCTAACATCTACTTCTGTTTTAAATGCTAATCAGCTGAAGAGCTAGGGGAAAGCAACATCAGTAAATATCTACCAAGCAAAAGACAGGATAGGGGGGGCCTTGTGCCCCTGGTTATAGAAGTGGGAGGGAGGAGGTACAAAGCACCTCCAGGTGGAATGGTTAAGCCTTAGCCTTCCTGGGCTTGGTCTGGTAGGTTAAAATAACTGGCCTCATCCCTCTGGGCTACATGAAAGTGGATTACCCAGGTAGACATGACCAGTTAGTTTACAATTCCATTTTCTTTTTTTTATTAGCTTGTACAGCCTTTGTCCCCCAAATAAGTATAGGAATTGAAGGAAGGAAGTGGTGGTGAGCAAGGCAAAGCAGGAATCTGGAATATGAAAGCCTTTCCAGAGCATTAAGCGTGAGTCCCATAGATGGGCATCATAAAGTAGCAGCAATACTAGGATCTGCCAGAAGAATATGAGGCTCTTAGTTTAATGAATTAACACAGGGTCTGGGGAATTTGTTCCCTGAGGCTAAACAGGGACACGTCTCCTTATTCCTTAATCTCTGCCTGCACAGGCTTGATTCTGCTTCTTGATCTTGTGGAATGCATCTTCACCATAGCTACAGGCTGTGGGGAGAGTCCTCAGCTTTGAAATCTGTGCAGTCCTCAAAATACCGGAAGCTGCCTTTTTTCAGTGCTTGCAGCTCTTTGTATTAGGAGTACTACTGTACACCACAGGAACTGCAGGGAAATGTAGTAGCTTTAACTTCAAATGTCTTGTAATAACTTAAAAGGCTTGCTTGGAAAATCTTTTGGGAAGAAAGAAATGTGCATCTTCCTGTCTTCCTTCATTCCCCTGCCCTGGCATAAATATGGTAGGTGTAGTCTGGCTAGACAAAAAGATAAGGAAGTTTTTTAAAAAAATTCCATACTCCAGTGTGGCTTACTACAAGAAAACATAGCTTGTTTTTGCTCTGGTAGGGGACTTGCAGGTTATGGCTTGGGAGGTCATGCTAAATCCGCTGTAGTTCTCATGGTATGTTAATGTTTAAGTGGTCGGAGTACTTCAGTAGCTGAAACTGCTCCCAGCATTCTTAGGTTGCTCAGTAAATGATAGTGTGTTTCCTCAGTAACAGCAAACCCTGCTAAGAGTAAAGCTATAACCTGCCCATGACCCTGCATAGCAAAGCTGGCAGGGCTCACAAAGTCTGGATGACTTTAATTCTGTTTTAACAACAGATAAGCTGTGAAGTGTTATTCTGCTTTGAGAATAGGTGAAGACTTCAACTCAGATGCCACTTGCAGCTGCAACTAGTATTTACTCCTACAGCTCCTGCCAATGAAGCTAAAACAATAATAGTCCCTGTACATATTGGAAACATCTGCACAAATTATTTCCTCTGCAGAGCTAATATACACAATAGACAACACTTTGTTCAGCAACATGTTTTAGTCCTTTCCTTGGTAGTCCCATTAGGTAAATTACATTCAACTTATGTAAAAGGATACTAAAATCCTCTTGTCAGTGTTGCAGATCTTGATTGGTGGCTCTTAAATGCTCTGATCAAAACAGCTAATTGCATTGTGCAAAATGAGACTGCAGATTTGTTTTCTGATACCACCAAACTTCATCGAAGTGGAAGTCATTTCCTGGAAAAGGTTAAGCCGTGGCAGGGAAGGCCTGGAGATTTGTTTACATAGCCTCTAGGCTGCCATAGGATGTTACAGTGTATTAATCTGATCTTTCAAGATCTCCATTAACAGCTTTGGTTGTTCTGCACTGTGTTTTTTGTAGGGCACAGGAAACCTTCATGCAATGGGATCAATGTAGAAGATTTTATAACTTCCTCATGGCAGACAACATGAAGAAGATCATCCTTTCTCACAGGTACTGCAGTACATCACTTACACTGATAGTATTGATTGGGTCAATTGTTATATTGGATTTGTCTTCTTGGTCCTTTAAAATAGGACTCCTGAAAGATTATGCGCCAGTTCCTTGCTTGGTGGTCTCTAGATGAACCAACAGAGAAGGGGAGCCCATGTCAATCTCATTCATATACCATAAAAATATACAAATAAGCTTTGATCTTGTTAGAAAGCAGGCTTTGTTGTCTTTTTGCCTTCCGAGGAGACTTGCTTAATGAATAAACAAGATGCACACAGGAAAACACTGAAATTATACTTCAAAGTGGAGTATTCTGCATCTGTTTCATTTCTAGCCAAAGAATTCCCTATTCAAGGAGCCTCATGTTCTGCCACCTACCTGAGGTAGGATTAATCTTCAAGATCTGCTGTATGGGGCTGCTGCTTATCAAATAAGTCAAACTGTAGGTCTGGCTTCTAGCTGTTCCTCTAGAAAGAGCATGTAGCCAGCAAAATACTTAGCGTTGCTCTTCCTGGAGTGCAAGTGTACTTGTAGGATCCCTGTGCTGCTGTTGTGATCTGTGGCTCTCACATGTCAAAAGAACGTGTTTGTTAAATAGGTGAAATGCTCAATGTTGCTTCCTCCATCAGAAGTTCTCTGGGTATTTCTTTCTAGGGCAATAAATGTGTAAGTACCTCATCTGTGTACATTTGAAGTTGCCTGACTCGAGGGAAAAGGAGGGGAATATCTAAGACCCATTCCAATTAAGAACATGTGTCACTTGCAAACTTTTGGTTCATTGTTTACACCCCTGTGCAGTATAAAACACTTGTGGAAGGAATTAGGGCAGCTGACATGTAGGATGATCCACATAATTCATTCAAGATTGACAAATATTTAGACAACTTGACCAAATTTAACATGTGAAGTTAGGTAAGTCCCCATTAAAAGATACTTAAATTTGTAACCCAGAAAAAGCCAGTGCTGGCTTGAAGGCAAGTGTGTTAAGTAAACTTTTTTCGATAATCACTTGTGCTCTAAGGCAGCTCCCCCATATCAAACCTAGCTTCCCTCCTACTCTGCCCTGCAGCTGCCTCTGAAAGGGAATAAAAACCCCTTTCCAACTTGTGGCTTTTGTTCTATTTGTTAGGGGAGCAGTTTGTTCTGGTAAAGAAACACATCCTCTCCTGAGGGCAATAACTAATTATGACAAGTGTCCATAGTAAATAGTTTTCTGCTAAGGTAATGCCCCAAGTAATTTCTGCTGTGTGAGCTAACCATAATATCTGTGCTGGGGAGACTTTAGGACCAGATGATGAAGGAGATGCTATGCCCAGGACTGCTAGTGCTCTCACCCGAGCCACCCACACGTTTGGTCTGAAGCCAAAGGACCCTCCCTCTAACCCAGCCTCTGTTGCAAATACCCTTAGCGCTGTCTGTTCTGGGAAGATTCCTTTTAGAGGCCCCTCACGCAGTTTTTCAGTATAACGGGAAAACTTTTTTTTCTATAAAGAGGCTGCTAGGGTTTCTGCTATGCCTTGCTGCAAAGAGAGGTGGACAAATAAGCTGTGCTTGTTCCCAAGAAAGCCTCATGTATATGTAGCACACTTCTTATCTTGTCAGACTTGGTAAACTTAGTTGTCCTTGAACAGGTCATGGCTTTGCTGCCCTGGTTGTTATTTGGATGTTTTTCTTGATGTTACTCTTTCAGGCAAGCTCTTTTTGGAGATAACAACATGAAGAAGCCACAAAGCCTGTCAGATGCTGATCTGAGCAAACTCTATACAGCAACATCCCTTATGCAGATTGATGATAACGTTATGAGGTACGGAGGGTGATTCTCTGATCCTACGTAGATCTCTGAAAGTACCTTCTCTTTCAAGCGTTGCTCTTGCATGCCCCTTGCTGTGCCTGTAGGAATCTGCTGAAATACAGTGCTGACAACCTCAGAAATTCTTCCTTGCCTTCACATTGAATAAAACTTACCAGAAAAAAAAACAACTTACTATTGACAGTCACAGCTTCTGTAAAATCATCCAGGAGGCATTTATTTATCAGTAAATCTGAACCTGCAGCCTTCAATAACGTAGGAGGAGGCCAGCTCTGCCACAAGCTCTAGCAAAAGAAAAAGTGCAGAATGTGGAAAGCAGCTCAGAACTGCTAATGAATGTCCTTAGCCCTGCTTGAATTTTGAAACAAACCTTCCCCCCAAAACCCACTCCTGCCTTCTCAATAAACATTAGGGTTGGCTGAGATGATACAACCTTTTTTACTTGTCATACTAACACCTAAGTTAAGCTCTCTGCTTTATTAAGCAGTAGCCTGTTACTGCCCGTGTCCTTGAAAATAACATAGCACTTTCTTCAGTGGCAGCGTTCGTACCATGGCATCTTCCGTATCAGGCATTGACACCTTTCCAAAATGAAGCTGTAAACTGTTGGCTATACAGCTGTAACACTTTTGGCAGGCTGGGAGTATTGCTGGCTGCTTTTTAAAAGCCATTCCTAGGGAAATCTCCCTACTTGTCCCTCATCCCTGAGGCCTTTCTAGTTTGGGCCAACAGCTATGTCTCTCATGTCAGGAAAAAAAAAAAGCACTTGAGCATAGGTTTACTGAATTCTCGGTTTGGGATGGAGAGCTAAGGATTTGGCAAAGAACTGGAACCACAGTGAATTCTGGGTGGCTTGTAGGCAGGCCCTTTTGTCCAGTATGTCTGAGGTTCATAAACTGTGGTGGTTTTGTATTTGAAGAGACTTTCAGGTAAAGATGAACAAGATCGTAACAACTTCTTTCTTCCATATGTATAATTACTTAAGTGAAATGGGATACTTCAAAAGAAATGTGCTGAAGACTGCTAGGCTTCAACTTGCATGTTTAACTTGCCCGTGCTATCACAATATTTGAGTAAGCACAGAAAGCATAAAGGCATGTGCTGCCAAAGGTGAGTTTTGCAGAGACACTGGGTAGAAAAAAAAAAGCATTGTCCATGAAAATCAAGGCATCATTCCCATCTCTGCATATATGTCCTCACTTGAAAGTAAGAATCACATGGGTACTAGAAGCAGATTATTTCAATGACGGTCTTCTCTATTTCAGGAAGTTCCATGGCTACAGTTCCTTGAAGGAATACTATGAAGAAGAAAGCTGCCTGCATTACTTGCACAGGGTAAGCTCTTGCAATAGAGACTGCTCTCGTACCTTCATTTTCCTATTGGAGAGAAAACGCACTGCGGTTTCTGTTGTTAATGCTTAGACACAGCTGTCTTAGCTGGGATTTTCAAAAATAATCAGACACAGTATATTGGAGTGGGATTTCAGTTCTCGCTAGCTCTAATACTGGGGCTAAATGCTCTGGGCTCTTAAGAGCTTTAACTCTGACAGGTAGTAGCACCCAAGTGAATCTAGATAAAGCCATGCATTCAGTTGAACCGCTCTGAGTGTATGAGGATAAGGTGGGAAATGGGTGGTGGCATAGAGGCTGCAGTTTCGAGGAAGAAAGACTTACTAGATACTGTGGAAGAGACTCAGGATGCTATCTGGCAGGCAGATGCTTAGCAAACCAAAGTTTTTTGCAGAAGCGGGACTGGAAGATTAATTCCTCCTTGATCCACTGAGCCAGAGGATGGAGGTGTTCCAAGGGAGTTTCCTGGACTTTAACCAAGGTGTCCATAACAGAGCTGGCACTAGCTGCCTGATGTGCAAAGCAATACAGAGCAAAAATGGGTGTAGCTGTTTGAATTCTGAGAATGGGGAAGATCTGTGACTCAATCTGTGTTTGCTCTGATGCACCCCTGCCCCTTTCATACAATTGAGTTGAAAAAAAAAAATAAAATCAAGTGCTGCAAAGTACTCCGTTGGTGAAAAGCCACCAGCCTTAAATATTGACGCTTTCTGCTTTTCTGATGCTTCTCCAGATACAGGGCAATTCTGAAATAAGATGTGTTAATTGAGTTAAGCTAAGATGCTTTTACACTTGGTAGACTGAAGCTTAAATACCAACCCCTTACTGTGTGTGTTTTTTCCTTTTCTGCCATGTTTCTTGATGCAGATCTGTGTTCCTCTTCTGTTGGTTAATGCTGCTGATGACCCTCTTGTGCATGAGAGTCTTCTATCAATTCCAAGAGCTCTTTCAGGTATGTTGAAGCAGTATGTTCCAGCTGTGCATATTTGTGTACCTGCAGCTTCCTTATCACATCATGATCCATGATTTCAAAGCAGCTTGACTTGCCTCCTTACATCTGTAATCCTGTGGGAGGTGTACTAAGCCTCTTTAAATCATCAGTTGCTAGAACTAACAAGGCTAACCTTGAGCAGGAAGAACTCGAGTCCTTTCAGGCACCTTCTGCTGTTTTGGCTTGTGTTGATAGCCAGCAGGTTACATTCAGGTTACATTCTTGAATGGAGCTTGTGTTGATAGCCAGCAGGTTACATTCTTGAATAGAAAATTATTCTTCATGTCTTCATTCCTCACTGAGATTTAGTAGAAAGGTGGGTTATTATAGTGATAGTCTTGATCAGGTACAGATGAACAGCCCCCTTTGCTGATGAAGAGCTGGGGGGCACATGCATAGCTGTGTTGTTTGGTACTGAACTAGGATCTCTCCCCTGAAAGGAGTTCTGTGAACTGTCTATCTTCAGCCAAGAAAAAAAAGGCAAATTACTTATAGAAGCTCAGAAGAGGGAGCTGGCTGCTGCTTCGTCACACAAAGAGTGGATGCACAGGGAGGGGAGCAGCGTTCATTCTTTTCCTGGTTGAAAGCTATGAGCAGAGAATTTATCCACAGCTGCTTCTGACAGAAGCAAGCACAGGGATTTTCTCACTGTACGTGGAGGAAGGTGGCTGATGTACTGTCAGAGCTTTGGTGCAGCTCGACATGATGCAAACAGTCCTAGTTAAGGTGTACATGAGTTAAAGATGTTCATTCATTAAAGAATGGGCATTCTTACAGCAATACCTGCATTGCCGTAAGGGCCCAGCCAACAGCATTTCTTGGGCGACCTTCTTGTACTGGCTGGGACTGGTTCCTGCAGACTGTCCTGTTCTGTGAAGCAGTAAGGTTATGTGCTTTGGACTTCAAAGTAGCCATGGCCTTTGTCAGTGCATTTCTGCCTCCTACATATGACTATCCTTGGCACAGCATGTGAACTAAAGGAGCAGAGTTGATTATCACAGCTTCAGATGGTTTCATTCTCAGCTCCAAGATGTTAACTTTCTGGAACTTTGTGCCTCCTTTTGTTTTACAGAGAAACGTGAAAATGTCATGCATGTGCTGCCCCTTCATGGAGGCCACCTGGGATTTTTTGAGGGGTCTGTACTATTCCCAGAACCTCTTACCTGGATGGATAAGCTTGTGGTACAGTATGCCAATGCCATCTGCCAGTGGGAGAAGACAAAGTCTCACTGCTCGGACACAGAGCAGGCTGTATCTGGCCAGGAGTAATTGACCCAAAGACTCTGGATCACTTCAGTATATCTCCCCTTTTAGGAACATCTTGTTCCCTCACCTGCTGCTTCAGGTTTCCATTCTCCTTGATATCCTATGGCTGGGGTTTGATCACAATGTTTTCTTCCAAAGTGGAGTTAAAGCAGAGGTTAATATCTGGTCAGAGCATCTTTGCGTATATAGTCACTTGGGTTTGTAGTTTACTGCTCTGCTTGAAGAAATTAGGTGGCTGACTGAGACTTGTTACAGGGTTATTGAGCTTAAAGACTGCTTGCTTTAATATAGCAGAAGTTTCAAATGTCAAAATCTCTTCACCTGCTGGTCAAAAACTTGATCTGCAGCATTTGTTTAGGTGTAGATGACAGGGTAACTATGACTCTGTTCTCTGTCCCAGTGCTGGAAAAACCCTGTACCAAGCCACAAGCGGGTGAGTGGTTCAGTCTGTAAGCCACTAAAATGTGGCTTGGAACAACAGATGCTTGACTACAAGTGGTGTTCCAGCCTTGCACCATCTCAAGGGAAGCCTTTTGCTTCCTAGGAACACACACAAGTGAATCAGTTTAAAAATACTTAACTTTTCCATGCTTCAGCTATCTGTGTATTGGGGTGTCTTTATGCTGGGACTTCAAGTAGAGAAAAGCTGCAGGCTGATAATACCAGTTAATGTTTCTATGTAAACATGTTCTCACACCAAGACCAGATCAGTCACCTTCTTGTCATCTTTGCCTCTCTTTAAATGTAGTCATCTTTTTAGTACTGGATTTTTTGTTTGACCCAGGGCTTTTTAAAGCTGGCTCTGGCTTCCAAATGGAAACCGGAGATTAAGAATCTGCAGGATCTTTCTGTGAGCTCAATCTGTTTTTAAGAATATTTCGTAGAGAATTATGTACTCTGTTAGGGATTAATTTGTTGGGGAGGAAGGTATCTATTTAGATTTACTCCCCTTATGTCAGGGTAAATCATAGCAAAATTCTTCCCCTTAGCTTTCAAAGCATCGAATGGTTTTCAGACACGACTTGCCTTACAGTTGATGGGGAACTGGATGTCTCTAGCCCTGTGCAACTAAAATGATATTTTTGCATGGCTAACTACTTCCATATCTATGTAAACGCTGTAGGATTACTGGCTCCAGTAAGCCACTGGGCTCTTCCTCACTTGAATTCCTTTTCCACACCCAGACCTCCTCTTCTAGTTTTAATGTGCAAAAGCTGTTTGCAGGAAAGATGCCTACTCACTTGTGCTTTTCCCTCAAGTGGCTGTTATGGTCTGTGCCAAGATGGTTATTAAAGACCCTAGTCTATCCCCTGGAAGGAAAGTTGTCCCATGACAATCTGGAGACTGAAACTTTGTGGTCAAAATCTTTTTTTTTTTTTTTACTGTTTGTTCTGTCAATAATGTAGTCTCATTAATCCATCCTTAGGACTTCTTTATCACAGTGTCAGTGAAGTACTCTTCCTGTCACACTTCCCACATCAATTAGCACTTTATTGCTTCAGCCTTGGTCGGTGTTCCAGGCACTTTAGTTTATAGCTTAAGGGTGAAACAAGCTGCAAGACTTCAGTCTGGTAATATAGGGGAACGAGCCTTCTGGACTGCCCTGTCCCTGAACTTCAGTAGGTTGGAGAAGTGGGTTTTTGTTTTAATAAAGCAATAATTAACTATTGTAGCAAAGATGCATTATCATATCAGGAAATTCCTTTCGTTTGCCTTAGGCCAGACACCTTGGCCTGTTACAATGAACTGTGGATATCTGCACATTCTCCTTGTTAGTAAATCCAGGTTTCCTTTTTTTCATCAAAGAAAAGATGTGACCAAGTAAAGCTATAGCAAGACTTGGCCATGCTTGTGGCTGTTCCTTAAGAACTATTTTAGGGCATCAGTTAGCAAGGATATTCTTAGCTGATGGGTATCTTGTCTTTCTATGTTGTTATCCTCTTACTCATACTGCATCTGTATATCACTAAAATCTGTCATAAAAGACATTTCAGATTTTTGCTTAAGTAGCTGTTCATGTAATATTCATTGGATATGACTTCAATATCTTCTCGCTTCAACAGAAGTAGAGTGTAAACAACACTTGTACGCACCAAATAGATACAGTATAAATTTAGGTGTGTAGGGGGATATGGTTTTTATCTCCAGTGGTTACAACTTTAGAAGTGTTTCAACTTTCATAGTATACTACAGCTGTAGCTTACACAGTTTGTGGCTGTCTGCCTTGAGGAAACAAAACCGCCCTTCCCGTGCTTCATGTGTCCTTCCTCAATCCAGCTTTACTGTGCTGAGATGAGTATCAACTTCAGACAGCTCTAGAGGAGCAGAAGCTGTCCTTGGTACCAATACTGCTGTTGAAATGAAGAGCCCATCGTATGACCCAACATGTGGGTACCTATGAAAGAAAGGTCAGTGTGTGTCTGACCTCCTTCGAGAGCAAAATATCTGCCTTCCTCAACTTGAGAGCCTTATCAAAAGCAGGGGTGCTCTGCCCATCTCCCCAGGCGGCTGAAGCTCTGCCTTCCTGCCCAGGACCCCAGACTGGCAGAACAGTTCCGTTGTTGACTGGCCCAGAATGTGAAAGTCAGGAGGGTGAGAACTGGCTTGGTACTGTCTGGGAAGGTTAATGCTGAGGCAAAGCAAAAAGCCTCTGCTTTTTGGCCAAGTCATGCCAGTCCCTCTGAAGGTGGAGCTTTGTCCTGAGCAGCTTTTTCTTGGAAAAAATTTTCTTCCGTTTTGTAAAGGTGACCATTCTTGATGGACCAGGCTTTCAAAGGGGTTTTTCTGTTTCTGAGGTATGAGGAAGCTACCTTCTTATCAAATGTACCTTCATTTCAAACTGATTTCACTACAGCAGATGGCTAGTCGATCAATGACCCGTTTTTAAGCAAGTCTCCTAAAATGAGGTGAGCAACTGGGTAATTCTGAAAGCAGCAGGAGCTGTAGCTTTGTCTAATTAGAGATTTTGCTTTAAAGTTGGAGGGTCTTTTCAAGAATACTCCTTCCTGCCCTGCAACCCAAGCCTTCATACTTCAGAAGTGCTGATGCTGTGCACTTTCTGAAACTCTCAACTGCAGAAGTAATATGGGTATCTGTCTTGCTTCTTTGACCTGTTTTTGCATCTTGCATCTGAACTTGCATCTACAGCGGTTCAAACCACTTGTGACTTGACCAACTAATTCTAGCCTGATTGGGGAAGAGCAGCTTTTGTCAGTGGCTTGTTTGTGCAAGGCTTCTGAAGCCTGAGGTTCAGCTTACTAAGCTTGTTGTAGGTGGAAGCAGTGAAAAATCTATTCTCCCCATCCCACCCAATTTGCTACTTTCAAAGCAAGACTCATGGTGTCAGACTTGCAGCAGTAACTTAAAGAGATCTTGGGGAAGTGGGAGAGGAGAAAGTTAAGCTGCAGTACATGTTACCTAAAGGGAATCCTGTATTAAATCTTGCTGCTGACAGTGACTGGCAACTGATACCTAGTGCCAGTGCCCCAAGATGCATGGGACTTTGTCCAATCTTAATCTGAAATACTCTTCTCTCCCAAAATAAGGCAATACTAGTCTTGTGATGTGGACAGGTGGCCTTCATTTGCCCAGTGAACTCAACCTTAAATGCAATCTGAATTTTTAAGTCTTAGAGGCGAAGTCGTCTTTTTCATCTCTTGTCAAGACACATGAGGTTGTTGAAGTGTGCATTTCTATATCATTACAGTGTAGTCTGATAGTGCAGTTCAAGACTACAGCATGATGAATCTGTCATGTGCTCTGTTTCGTTTCAAACTGGGGTTAGAAAAAGCATTAGCAGAGCTCTTCCACAGGTAGTCTCGTGTGGTATACGCACCTCTCCCATCACTGGATGTAAGTAGCACTTGAACATAAACCCTAAGGACTCTCTCAATCGGATAGCAAGTTGCAGAACTATTACTGTTTGGTTAGGCTGGTCTAACCATCACCTCAGTGTCTGGAGAGATCTGAAGCTTGTAGGTGAGAAGCTGGGACTCGCTCTTACTGAACACAAGGAACTTGCAGCTTCCACTACATCAGATCTGCCAGCATTTTTAATGGTCCCTTGGGTAGCTTCTAAATTGAAGGTGTTTTCAGATGGGTCTGACAGTGTTGTAGTTGCACTGTAACTTCCCTGCAATCTTTTCCTAAGTGTTTTTCTGCAGTTCCTGTTTATGAAGATCTAGGTTACAAAGACAGGGCATTAAGCAAAGATGTTGGGAGCTATTGGCTTAAGTACTGAATTTAGCCAAGCTTACCTGTGTGTCCTCTGTCCTGGGTCTGTCACAAGTTCCTAGACCACTGCCCTTTGACACGTGGTGCCTTGCCCTTTTTCTCCTCCTCCCTTGACATCAGCATATCTAGAGACTTCAGTAACAGCTCTGTCAGAGCTTTTGGGGCTTTGCTTTTTAGTAAATGAGTTTTCAGACACTAGGTAGTGAGACAACTCTGGCAATGTACACTGTACAAGTGTGCTGACTTAAAGGACCTTTGTGGGCAGCCTACAACTAGCTACAGTCTATTTTAAGGCTTAAAATTTATATAAGCAGTGGATCATTTTCAGCTCTCTGCTCCTCTAGCAGTAGGGATTGAGTCATAGAAGGAGGGTTTGCTTTGCTTAATATGTGACTTGTTACCTTACAATCCCAAAGTTCTTATGTCTATTAACTCTCCAGCAGCGTAGCTGGAGGTAATTGCTGAAGTGACTACATCTCAAAAGAAAAAGCAGAGAGTAGCAACTTCAGGATTTAATTGCCAAACAGTTTAGTCACCTGAATTGCTTCCAAGTTTTTTGAGAAATATTATGCCTGTCTGAAGCTTCTTGAAAAAGGCTGTGAAGAATTTCAATGAGACCAGAAAAGGCCCTAGCCTTGTGCTGCATGTGTAAGTCATTTGTTGTGAAGAGCATCTTGTTTCTGGTTTGAGTCTTGCTCCATGCGTCCTTATTCCTTTGGCGGATCTGTTGGTTGGGTAGGTCCTGGAGCCACAGTGACTCAAAGCAGTGTCTCCTTCATGGCTTCTAGGTGGAAAGCAAACAGCTCTTCTTAGTGTGAGGAGTTTGAGTTTTCTCAGAGCTTAGAATGCCTCAGAGCAACACTGCCCCAAGGAAGGGGTGCCTTGTAACTGTACCCTTACTGCTGGGAGTGTCTGTTACACTGGCCTGGACTTTCTCTGCTGTTGGGGGAGCTTAGGCACAAGTGCCATCAGTGAGTCAAAGCAGTTGCCAGCTTTCCATGCTGTGGTGGAAGGGTTTCTAGGGTTACCCTGAACCGTTGCATTCTGAACATCTGTATTCTTGGTTTTGCTAGTTAATCAATGGACACAAACACTGCAATCCAGGGCAGCATTTATCAGGTTGGATCTGCTAGTATTGAACAGGCTTTTCCAAGTCTCTCTGACACTCTCCAAAAGCTCTAGCCCTGCACCCGCTAAAGGCCATGTCCTTCCTTCTCACCAAATGGCCTTGCCTAACCCAGGCAGTTTTAATGCCAGTAAGGATCCTGATCCCACAAGGTGGCTCTACACAAAGCCTTTTTGCTTTTGTCTGAATGACAAGCTTGCATTGTCTCTCTCTGGTCATGCAAGAGCTTTGATTAGATACAGAACTTTCTTCTAGGATCTCCACTAAGCTCTACTGGGATGCTGACCCTTTTCCTGGCTCCTGCCAACTGGGAAGTCTTAAAAAAAAAAAAAAAAAAAAAAGCCAAACAAAACCCACTTGTATTTGATATAACCAAACCCTACTGCTTAGCCCAAGTCAGCAGCTTTCCAAAGGAGCACGTTTTCTCATTGTGTTACTTGACTGCTTGACCGTAATTCCCAGTGACAGATTACTAGGCATTCTTCTTGAGAAAGCATAACCTCTTTCTCTGAAAATCCCAAGCCGAAGAGGTGAGTGGAGACCTCAGGAAGAACAGACTTGTGCCCTTCTTGTTTTGCCTGTGCAGGTGTGTTAGAACAGGCTGAGTGATTTCTAATATTCTTGGTGAGCAGTTTGCTATGAAAATATCTTCAAATTGGCAGAATTGTACTCTGGAACCATCTCTAAATGCTGCCCTGAAGAAAAGCTTGTATACTGAGACACCTTCCCCGCTGCCATGTTCTGAGTCAGATCCTCTGGAGCTGACAGCTGCAGGGGAGATGATTTGCAACTAGCAATGCAATTTTTCTATATCTGCTGATGTTTACCTTTAAAATTATATATATAAATATATATAAAACAGTGTCTTTGATTTTTTCTTTAATTTTTGTTCTTCTGTGTGGTATAAAATGGAGGTCACTGCAAAACAAAATGTAATTTTGTTATCTTTGATTCTGTGGGATTTCTTTATTTAAAAATAAAGGACTTATTGAAGTCAGTGCTACATGTAGTGACTGTGTGCAGTGTTATTGGGTGATGAAGTCCAGCTGTCACTCTCGACAGGCAAAGCAGCTATGCCTTCTTACTCACTTCCTCTGCAGTGGGGAGAGAGTCAGCTGATGTGGGCATATATTGGGCCAACAAGGTAATATTGATTAAAATGCCACTGGATATCTGAACATGTTCCCTCAGTTATGAGATTTGGATTAGCTAAAGGAGGAACAAGAGCAATCCTTTAGCCCCAGCCCTTGTGTGTGAATTAGTATTAGATGGTAGTTTCTGTTCACTAGTGCTGTCCAAACCAAGACTGCCTTGGGGAAAGGCTGTCCGTATATCCCTGTGGTATACACCAAGGCAGGAGCTGGCTTGCTGCTCCCTGACTTCCAGACAGGACAACCTTTGTCAGTAACTCCTGTTTCATGAACTCTGGTGTTGCCTCTACGTTTTGACCCACTAGTTGGCTGTTCTAGTGGTAAATGCAAGGGCTCTGATTGTTCTAGGAAATGTGAATGACCCCCTCTTGAGGGAGAAACCTCAAGCTTGCACTCTTCTCCTTCCATACTTCTGGGGTGGGGAGGACAAGAGGGGTGGCAGTGTTGGGGGCATGTCTTCTCTGCCTTTCACTCCTTTCAGCAGTTGCAGCTTCTGAGCCCACCTCTCAAAAACCGCACTGAAAGCTGAAGTCAGTGTCAAGTAAATAAACGGGAAGACTGCACAGGGGCTGTATGTGACAACACATGGATGGTGGGCCAGCCCCTGCCACCACTGTCACCTCCAGCTGGAGCCTTCCTCTACCTCTGTTGTGTTCCAGAGAACAGAACAAGGACAGAGCTGCTACAAAAAGCTTCCAGGGAGAAGTCAGCATTAACAATTCCTGCTGTGTGTATATATATATATATAGCAGGAGCATCTAACAAGTGCCCTGGCTCTCACGTCTGCTGGGGCTGGGCTTGGTGGCTAAGCATGGGGTATCTAGCAGGCTCTTGAGCTAAGGAATGTGTGGCTTTCTTGGCAGTTGACAGAGGCTGGCGGCTCAGCCTTCCCTAAGGCTTGGGGAGTGAGCTGGGGGGGGCACTTTATCTTCTTCCCCCCCTTTCTCCCTTGCAGCATGTGACACAAGCCCTAGTGATGCTCCAGTCTGTCTTAGTTACTTTTTGTCTTATGGCCAAGAGAGGTCCTTGATGCCTCTCTGCTGGAGAATGGAGATGGCATCCGCTTAAAAAAACTGAATGCCTGTCCTGAAAATGGTGAAGAAGGGCTATTTTTGCTGGTGGACAAGAGCAGATTGTGGCAATCCTGTATCGGCCCCCAGGTTCTCCCAGGACCACTAGGTCACTGGCTAGAGGACTCCTCTAGAGCCAGACCTATAGCTGTGCCAGGACTAAGACCTGAAGTAGGGCTTAGCTGTGGCCCTTCCTGCAGCGTGTGGAAAGACTCTCCTCTGGGATGACAACTTTCCTGCAGCGTGCAGTAAAGCTTTTGGCTCATGTGTCTCTGCAGAAATCATCAGAGTGAGTGGAGTTCCTAATCTTTCAGCGACTGATGGGGGAAAAAAAAAAATACAACAGCATCTCTGGCTGGGACACTTTGATATCAATCTAAGGAGTTAACCACTTGTTTGAGCCCAGGGCATAGAAAAGCCCTGCTAAAAGCACTACTTGACTGACACTAAGAGCTCAATGGTGTGTGGTTTTTAACTACAGACCAAGTGAGACAGATGTGGAGGGTAACTGGGACTGGCGAGCTGTTGGGGCAGCTGGGCTGGGCCAGGACCGTTGCCGCTGTTTCCCTGTAATGAGAATTGCTCTGTGGGAGGCAGTGTTTTGGGCTCCATCTCTAGTTTATTGCCCATTGCGATTTAGCTGTTAGATCTACTTCAAAACTCCTTCCTGGCTTGGTCAGAGTCACTCTGGGGTGAAGCCGAGGCTGGCATGGATTGCGCTCCCTGCTCTGTTTGCTGTGCTGTTCTCTGTCTCACCATCAAAGCAAGCTACTGGCTGACAGTTTGTCCCAGCAGTAGTGAGCAGCCACAGGGACCTCCCAAGAGCTATGGCTGTCCCAGCCCAAGTCCCAGAGGCAGCAGTGTGGTGCTCCCATCTGTGCGTATGGGTTTTTTTTTTGTCTTTCTCTGTTTTTCTAAGTGAGCTGCAGTTGCTCTGTCTCCCAAGCAAGCTGTGCTGTTACGTTTGCAGTGGCCTGATGGTTGTAGAGTTGTCACACATGGTTTCCTTAGGATGGCTCCAGATGCTTCCCGGCCCCGTGAAGAGCACTGCACAGTAAGGAGCCGAACGCAGCAGAGGTGCCTTTCGCTCTCCCTCTGAGCTCTCACACAAGGTTGGTGCAGCCCCGGGCTGGGACTCACCATGTGTGGACCAGCCACCGTGCTGCTGAGGCTGGAGAAAACAGATTTAACCCCAGTCGCCTCTGCCCAGACAGGCCCCATCCTCCCCGCAGCTTTGGAGCCGACGTCCTGTTTGGTTTGAGCCTGAGCCAGTGCCCTGATGAATGCGGCTCTTGTCAGCACCCTCCACTTCAGCCAGCTCCGGGTGGGGGTCTGGTCCTCTGCTTGGCTGATGAAAGGCGCCCATGTGTAGGTGCAGAGCTGGGAGGGAGGGAGGGAGGGGAGATGGGGCATGCTGCGGGACCAGCTTGACGGAGAAAGTGGTAACCTGGGCAGAGACCAGTGCCTTGCTCTTCTCTGAGCCCTACTGCTCACCAAGGGAGGAGAAGACGGCCTGGAAACAGGTATCCGATTACCTCCTCCTCGGAGGAGATGCCTGGTTCATGAACCAGAACAGACCGCCTTCCCTGGGACACAGCTACTTCTGCCTCCCTCCTCCCCACTCCAGTCCTGCGGACTCCACATTAGCAAAGGCTAATTAGCATCAGGCACAGCTCGTTTGCCAGGTGAGGACCCTCCTCTGCCCTCCGTGGTGGCTTTTGGTGGGGCTTACCTGACTGAGCTCCCTCTCACGGTGCAATGCTAGGAGAAAAAGCTGTGCTGAGATGTTTTAAGGATTTAGGAGGGTATATTCTGCTTGTCTTTCACTGTCCTGTGGCTAAAGCCCATCTCCTACTCTTAGTGGCTGCTGCAGCCTCTGTTCCTCCTCCCTGCCTGCCTGGCTGAGCAGGAATTAGGCAGAGCCAGCTCCACCTGGGTCCCTGTTTGGGTTCTTGTTTGAATCTTTTGGGCTGTTTTCTCTTTCCTGGTTAGAGCAGATGACTGACAATGGGGGGTCCTTGCTCGGGCAGGGGTGGGGCTTGTTCTGGGATGCATGGGGGATGGAGACAGCCGGTTCCTTGGCCCCTGTGCCAAAGGGCAGTCAATGATGGGGGGACAGGGGTCTCCTACCAAGCGCTGACACTCCTGGCCTCCTTACAACCAGCAGCGCAGCCAGTGCCTGTGCCCAAAAAGCTGCACCCCTGTTCCTTGCCATATGCCCCAAGGGACCCCAGAGCTCTGCTGTTAAACACTTTATTTCTCCCTTGCTGTAGCCCTCCCTTCCCAGAGCAGACGCTGTCCTGTCCTCCCACCACAGCTCTAGGGCATGCTGCAGAAGAGGGCTGGTGACCTCCTTTCTCTGCTGGCTCCTGAGGGAAGGATGCTCTGCCTGGGAGGGACAGAGCTGCCGGGCAGCCCGCTGCCAGGTTTGGGGAGGGGAGGGACAGGCATGGAGCAATGCGCCCAGAGTGCCTCATCACGAGCAGTCATTCAACCAAAGCTACAGTAAGGAGGTGGTTGGGGTTAGAGGGCCACCTCTGATCCTATTGTACAGGGGAGGAGGAGCAGACCCCAGTTTAGAGAGCCGTGTCTTCAGCCTCGATGCGGGGCCCAAAGAGCTGCTCTGCAGTTGCTTTGCCATCGTACTTGGGCAGGTTGCCACCAAAGTCTGCTGGCAAGATGTCGGCGTCGATCTCCTGGTAGAAGGACTCCAGCTCCTCTCCGTGCACAAAGACCTGGAGGGAGATGGGAGCGACCCTCAGCAGAGAACCAGGATGACTCTTCCCTGCTGCTCTGTTTCACCCAGGGACGTGTCTCTGCCTCCGGGTCCCTTTCCCACACTCACCCTCTCCAGCAGTTTGCTCTTGAGGAATGGTTTGACCACGTTGTAGGTGGTGGTGAAGTACCAAGGCTGGTGGATGAAGTGGACGGCCTTGAACCGTGCTGGGAAGGAGTCCTAGGATCCCAAACCCAGACATGGATGGTTACAGAGGGTGCTGGCCACATGAAGCCAGGCGGGCAGCAATGGACACCCTGACACTGCCGTGGCTCCCCTCGCCCAATCTCCCCTTCTCTCTTTGATGGCCCCTTTTTTGCTCTGACCCAGAGGATCAGCTGTCCCAGCCCCAGGAGTACCAGGGAAGCTGAAGAGCCTCCCAGATGGTTCATTGCTCCCACTACACAAGAAGGACCGCATCCCTCTGGTCCTCCTTCCCTGGAGAGAGCCAAGTTTCTTTGGCAGAAATCCTGGAGTGCCTGTCGGTCTCCATCCAGCCTGGACCAGGCTGGGCTGAGAGGGTGGTGAGGAAAGGCCTCCAGGCCATGCCGCAGGATGCTGCAAGGAGTGGTGGTACTGCTTCTAGTTGGGCTTTTGAGAGGACAGGGACCTGGGGCTGGAAAAACAGGATCCATCTTGCAGGATTAAGCCAATTAGCTGGCAAGGGAAGGAGCATGTGACGGGGAACAGCCTCTCCACGATGCTTTCTGCTGGTGTCAGCGTGGTGGAAATCGCAAACCCTGCTAGCCCTGCCTGCTCCTTTCCCTGAGCTCTCTATTCCCCCAGGACCTGCTCTGCCACTGCTGGGCGCAGACTTTGCCACCTCACCTGCAGCATGTCCACCATTTTCTTGAGCTCAGAGGGTTTGATCCCTGACGCCTGCTGCATGGTGAAGCCCTTGAAGTTCTCAATGATGCAGAACCCGTTGATCTGGGTCTCTTCGTTTTCCAGCAGCTTCTCCAAGATAACGCAATAGGCACGAAGGATCTGATGGAGAGGAGAGACAGCAG